AGGAATGCACTCTTAACATCCATTTGGAATAACTTAAAGTCTTTCGCACAGGCGAAGGCAAGCAAAAGGCGTATAGCCTCGAGTCGGGCAACCGGCGCATAAGTTTCCTCATAGTCGATGCCTTCCTCTTGGTTATACCCTTGCGTGACTAAAGCGCCTTGTTACGGGTTATTACTCTGTTTTCGTCCAACTTATTCCTAAACACCCATCAAGTGCCGATTACTCGATGTCCTCGCGGAGGAGGGACAAGGACCCATACCTCATTTCTCGTGAACTGATTAAGTTCATCTTGCATTGACAAAAACCAGTTTTCATCGAGTAGGGCTTCTTTAGGGTTTTTAGGTTCCATTTGTGAAACGAAAGCGAAGTGATAACAAAAATTACTTATCTTAGATCGGGTTGTAACACCCTTGGATATGTCTCCGAGAATGTTGTCAATTGGATGGTCTTTTGAAGACTTCCAAGCTTGAGGAAGATCATCTTTTGGAGGCGGATGAGCTTCCTCGGTTTCTTCATGGTGGACATCTTTTTCCTTCTCAATTTTAGCTTGGTCAGGCTGATCAATTCCTGGCTCGGAATCTTTGAGTATGTCTTCTGTAGATGTACCTGCGCCATGAAACACACTACCTTTTCTGACATTTCTCGGATAAGATTCATCAAATGTTACATGTACCGATTCTTCGACAATAAGTAATCTTTTATTGTAGATCCTATAGGCTTTACTGACTGAGAGTATCCAAGGAAAATACCTTCATCAGCCTTAGAGTCAAATTTACCCAAATTATCCTTTCCATTATTTAAGACAAAACATTTGCAACCGAAAACATGTAGGTGAGACACGATTGGCTTGCACCCTTTTAAAAGCTCGTAAGGTGTTTTGTTTAGAATGGGGCGGATGAGCACCCTATTCAAAACATAACAAGCCGTACTTATGGTGTCAGCCAAAAAATATTTCGGTAGTCCACTTTCATTGATCATTGTCCTTCCCAACTCTTCTAAAATGCGATTTTTGCGCTCCACCATCCCATTTGGTTGAGAAGTCCGTGGAGCAGAGAAGTTATGATCAATACCGTAGTTACCGCAATATTCTTCAAATAAATGGTTTTCAAATTCACCTCCATGGTCGCTTCTAATTGACACAATGTTTGTGCTTAATTTATTTTGGGAAAGTTTGGCAAAATTTTCAAAGGCGGCGAATGTATCGCTCAAAGGATGATGTGAAGCTCTCACACTTGTTGGGTTGATTAGTTGAGTAATCTACTTCAAATGACAAAATTTCTTCATTAACACTAACACTAACCTTTAATTGTACTAACATTTATTTTTATGTCATTTACTTTTATGCACATTTACCTTATCTTACGGCTCCTTGTACTATTTGGTGATTATCCTTTGCTTATTGATGATGGACTTAGAATTAGAATCCTTGCCTTATGCTTTGGAGTTTTATCTTGAGACCTTGGATCTTATTTGGCACTTTGACCTTGAGTTGACCTCCTTGAAGACTTGACTTGGAGACTTAGATTTTCATCTGATTCTTGGTTTTCTTTGCTTATCTCTACTTATCTTATTGCTTATATTGGTTTCTTAAGTCCAAAGGATGAGATTTTTGTCTCGTTATGTCAAAGGCTTGTTGTATCTTGGTTATATCTTTCCTTCCTTAGATTTTATTTTATTGCTTTAGGATAGCCTCTTCATCTCCTCCCCCTTCTTAAATTTTCAAAATCTTCTCTCTTTTTCAAAACTTTCTCCTTTCAAACTAGAATCACTTTCTTAATGAACCTTGACTTTGTCAAGTGCATTTTCAAATTTACTTTCTTAATAAATGATAATCAATCTTAAATATACTTAGACTATTTTCAAAAGGCTTAAAAAATACTTAACTCATTCAAACCATTTTATGCCTTTTGTGCACTTTTCTTTTTAACTTTTTTTCATAAAGTTTAGATATGAGTCATTTTTATAGTTGAGATGCGATCCTCCTATCCCCGTAGTATTGTTTGAAATAAGTTTATTATTTTCCACCTTAGAGAGTTAGTGGCATACTTGTTGATTTTATCCAAGTTAAAGTCCTTCTCATGGTGATGCAAAAGTCCATTTTCACATACTTGTGAGTGATTAGTTGAAGTTTTCTCCTTAAAATAACAAGTTGTCTTTTCATTTAAAATGAATCATAATAAACCATTTTGTTATTTATACCACGAACTACAAGGTTTTGATCTTCTATTGCACTTTGTGGGTACGTAGGCACGAGGCTCAAGAAAGTTTTGTCAAATGCAAAAATTAAAAAAATACTTCTCTTCTCACCTCACCAGTCTTTTGCAAATAACACCTTTTTATAAGCCAAACACTAGATTTTTAAAGAGGTTCTTATAGAGTACTATAGACGTTTTGGGTGCTAACACATTCCCTTTGCATAACCAACCCCCTTACCCTTGTCTCTGTTTTTATTAGTTTTTGTTTTAAAACTTCTTTAGGTTTTTTTCGCCCTTTTCCATTTCCTTTAAATAAAATAAAAGTGTGGTGGCGACTCTTGTTTTGCGAGTTAAGTTAATCAATAGTTTGATCTCAAATTTTCCTGCTATAATCATATCATGATTTTCTAATACAGTTTGGAAAGTTATATATTCAATAAGGGATTGAAAAGATAATCAAACCACATAATATATAATAAACTCATCTTTTAAACAAACATTAACAATAACATTCATCAAAAACATTCGCTAACAACAAATCTTAAACAACAAACACGATACAACAAACATATCAAGACATAACATGCTTCAGAAACATACCATACATGTCTCATAATGACCTGCCGTCAATGAAATAAGGACGAAGATAAATTTAGACCTGCAAACTTGTGTATATTTTGAATGGATGTCATTCTAGATCTTTGACACATGTTTGGAAGGCTAAATTTAGCTTCATACGTCCTCTTTATTTAAAGAAGCATTCATACATACTAGTCAAAATAAAAAGTAAGTTCAAACATCATGATACAAGCTATTAAAACAGATTTTGAAAAAAAAACTATAGAGAAAACGAACCTATAAATACCCATTGGATAAGATTTGTTGTTATGGTTTCGTTTTGGGGTTTCCATATGAGAGAGACGGGTGTTTCTTGTTGAGAGAGACGAGTGAAAAAGTTGTTAGGGTTTTTTTTAGAGAGACGATTGTTATGTACTGAAATAATAGATAATTTCACTTATATATAAATAAAGTACCACCTTTCGTCACGGTTGGTAATAAAAACCGTGGTGATATACAAGGCCAATAATATTTTTATCACGATAAATGGCTAATTGTTGGTGTTCACCTGCATGATGGTCACCTGTATGTTAATGAAGGCGACATGTTTGTAAGGGTCACTACGTCCATCAAACTTGGCTAAAGAGGGAGGCTTGAATCCTTCAGGGACATGCGCCTCCTATATTTCGTATGAGAGTGGATGGGAATCCAACACTTCCATCTCCTCTTGGGGATGTGTCTTTTGTTGGCGCAGTCGGATATTGAGGATGTTGCCCTCTAGGGTTTTATTATAACGTTGTAGCTTGTTCATGGTGGCAGATATCTCCGCTAGGGCATTGTCATCACCGCTACCACTGGTATCCTCTAGCGTAGGGTATGAAGCTCTCCTGCTAACCATGGCTGAGGATGGCTAGGTATAGGAGTGGAAGGTAACACTAAGTATGGTGATTGTAATGAAGAAGGGGTAACCCAAGTTAGTTTTACCGGGACCCCACAATGGACATCATTGTACTGGTCAAAAAGTATAAGTGTGTGTGGTATTCCTAAAAGGATAGGAGATACTTAGAGGCCTTAGTTAGTTTATAACAGTTAAGGCTTATTCTGACAATGAAAGGCCCTATATGGTGGTGTTTATGGTGGTATGAGAAAGTCAACTCACGTGAGGTGACAGACACTATATGTAAACATTATGGTTATGGTGTAATTATGTTATGTATATGTTATAATCCATCTTTCTCCCGTTAGGTTAGAACTACTTATAGAGTCCATATGGCCTAAGACTTAGGAAACCCTAAGAGATGGAAATTGTCCCTCCTTAACAGGGGGAGGTTGTTGACTGCCTATTTTTCAGAAAATCAAAGTATGACTTAGTCGACATGACTGGTGGAGGGATAATGGTATTGTGGACGTGTATTATCAAGATGGGAAGCCCTCATACTATTCAAACGTAGCACCCAAGCATCACATAATGGAATGGGAACTCTTACATTGTCCTTATTTGGTACTCTTACAAATATACACACACTATAAAAATTTGTGTGTCGAGTAAACAGCTCGAGACATGATGTCTCGTATAATGTTAGAATATCTAACTTATCCTGTTGCTTTCCACAAAGGCGCCATGAACCACTTCGAGATAGAATATCTTGCATCTTAAATGAGCATCTTACTCAACAAGTTTCCTACAAAATTTTGAGAATCAAATGTAATAACAAAGAGGTTCTATGAGAGTTAAGTTAATTTTATTTCTTCCACTTTAAGTAACTTATATAGCGTAAAACCTTATAAAATTTGTGAATGATAAGGTTAGAGATTTGTCTTAGCATGATCAATCAAGAACTCAAGTTAGATAATAAAGTGATTTTGCCTCAACGATTGTTGTTTATGGTCGAACAAGATATTTCAGTGCCTCTTTTCATCTTTTCGGGCTTTCTAGAAATCTTTTCTCTTTCAATCTCTGTGAGAGAGAGAGAGAGATATTTGTGTTTTACAATAGCAATACTTTATTTTCTAAAATATTAGCTATACATATCTAATATGTATTCTTTTTAAGCAAGGTAACTTATAAGCTTGTTCTTCCCTTTATTCGTTTTGGAGAATGTAAATAAAGCCTTTTATATTCTCCATCTCCTCTTATATAGAAACGCACCCTATTCTTCTTTCTTTGCATCATATATTTGTTCTTGAATCTCTATCTACTTTCAGCTAAATTTCTCATAAACAAGAGAGAGAAGAATATAGTGAGAAATGGAAAGAATGTTCCCATCAAAGAAGCCCTCAACTATGATGAATTCTCTTGATAGACCCATGTGTGTTCAAGGTGATTCTGGCCTGGTTCTCACCACTGATCCAAAACCACGGCTTCGTTGGACTGTCGAACTCCATGAACGCTTTATCGACGCTGTTGCTCAGCTTGGAGGACCAGATAGTACTCATCTTCTCCTTTTGTTCTTTTCTTTCATGTGGTGCAAATTATATAATAAACAAAAAATGTTTTCAAAGAATATATCTTGAAAAATAAAATTAGTGACAAAATATGAAATTGTCTTTAATATTATCACTAAATTTTGAAACAAGAAATCTAAGAGGTGTTTTAATTTGTCTTTAATTTTACTTTTTGTAATAATATAATTAGCAATTTGTATCTATGTTTTATTGACTGTTCCTCTCTTTTGTGTGTTTATTTGTAGAAGCCACTCCTAAAACAATTATGAGGGTTATGGGTGTAAAGGGTCTTACCCTTTACCACCTCAAGAGCCATCTTCAGGTTTGATCACAAACTATATGTACTCTATATTTCTTTTAATCATTTAGCTCACCTTTGTGACTCTATCAATTTTTTTTCTTTATCCCTTTTTCTTTAAGTTCTTGGTTTTTTATCTTTTGTATTAATAGAAATTTAGGCTTGGAAAGCAACCCCACAAGGAATTCAATGAACAATCGATTAAGGACGGTATGAGAGGTGAAATGGCACTTTAATTTCCTCTATGTTCCTTTAGTATATTGATTTTCTGAGCTTTTTATCTTTAGTACACTTTGTTGAATTCACATGTATTGTAACACTTTTGTTTTCATGACAGTTTCAGCTTTTGAACTGCAACGAAATACTGGCACCTCGTCTTCTATGACTGGCCGCAACATGAATGAGTACGCTAATTCACTTTTTGATTCTTAATTAATATATTCATTCAAACCCTCCACCGCAAGTAAACTATAATATAGTATAGTTTGTTTCACTCTTTTCTTTTTGCTTTGAGTACTTTTGCTCTTTTGGTTTAGAGAAAACAATCTATGTTTTTCTTTAATTTGAATTTTTCTATGGTTGGTGCTATATTTTAGAATGCAAATGGAGGTGCACAGAAGATTGCACGAGCAATTAGAGGTAAAGAAATCTTCAAGTATCTAAAGATTTTAGACAAAAATATATGTAGTGCAAATGTTGGAAGTGCTTAGTTTTTATTTGTGGCAGGTTCAGAAGCACCTTCAATTGAGGATTGAGGCTCAAGGAAAATACATGCAAAGTATATTAGAGAAAGCTTATCACACGCTTGCTGGAGAAAACATGGCAGCTGCAGCTACAAATTTCAAGGGTATAACTGGAACTCAAAGCATCCCTGATATGAAAGATTTTGTTTCTCCTCTTAATAACTTTCCTCATTTCCAAGACCTTAACATTTGTGGTAGTGATGAGGAACAACTCGAGAGACCAATCCTTGAAGGATTTATGCCAACTAATAATAGTGAAAACATATTTGTTGGGAAGAAAAGGACTAACCCTTTTGATGAAAATGGAAAGAGCCCATTAATTTGGAACAATAATGATCTTAGGCTTCATGATTTTGGAACAACTTCATCATGCATTAGCCCTCAAGATGTTCCTAATTTCAAAAGTGACTCATTGGATGGAAGTGATGAAAGTGATCCCATTGGTGAAGCTTATGACACAAAGGTGAGTGAGAAGAAGTTTGGTGCATCTATGAAGCTGGGAATAACATCACCTGTGATCAATGTCGTGGCAACTGGTAGAAGCTTATCACCATTTGGTTGAGAATATTTCTTATAATTATCTTTTATAGAGAACAAACAGTGAGTTTGGTTTTAGAAATCAGTATACTAGGGTTATTTTTCACGTTTGTTTATGGTATATATGGATGTCATTGCATGGCATATACCAAAAATCCTATTAACTCTAATCTATCTTTTATTTTACTTGATTGATTGATAGTAGTTATTTATAGATATGTTGATAAACACACATACATGTTTTTATTAGAATATTATTAATAATTCATATTTATTTAGTTGTACTATTTTCTTGGCCCCTAAGTTTGTTAGAGGGTATTTTAGTATTTATCTTATTCTAGTAACCCTAGTTTTAGCTTATAAATAGGGTGACAATCATTGTAACAAAATATCATGTTTTGTAGCCGTCATTCTCTTATTAGTAATATTTCCTATTTCATCATTTATTCTATCTTTGCACCAACAATTGGTATCTAGAGCTCCGGTTCAGATTCATTGGGAAACACGGGAAACACGAGTGAACGTGAGGTCTTGTGTGTTTGATTTTGTTTCTCAGATTCTTGTTGAATCTTGAACAAAATCTGATCAGAATTTTTTAATTCTGTGGGTTGGGAAACACTGTGTGAGAAAACAAAATCTGATCAGAATTTTTTAATTCTGTGGGTTGGGAAACACTGTGTGAGAAAACTCTGAGTGTATTGTGCAAAGTAGAAGATGAACGGAAACGGCAACATGAACACCAAACTTCCAGTATTTGATGGTAAAAACTGGAATCGTTGGATGATCCAAATGCGTGTACTGTTTGGTGCTCAAGATGTTCTGGATCTTGTCACTGATGGTTATGTTCCAGTAGCAGCAGATGCAACTGATGAACAGAAAAACGCGCAGAAGGAAGTAAGGAAGAAGGATCAGAAAGCATTGTTCTTCATTCATCAATGTGTGGATGTAAACGTGTTTGAGAAGATTGCAGACTCTACAACAGCAAAGGCTGCATGGGACACTCTGGTGAGATGTTATGGTGGTGACGCATCAGTGAAGAAGGTGAAGCTTCAGTCCTTGAGAAAGCAATATGAGAATCTCAACATGAAGAATAATGAGAAAGTTTCTGAATACATCTCCAGAGTGATTCTGATCACTAATGAGATGAAGGCATGTGGAGAAACTCTTTCTGAAGAAACAATCATGGAGAAAGTATTGAGATCCCTTACTCCTCAATTTGATTACATTGTGGTAGCAATAGAACATTCCAAAGATCTGAGCACAATGAGAATTGAAGAGCTGCAGAGCAGTCTAGAAGCGCAAGAGTTGCGTCTGACTGAGAGAAACTCTGAAAAGGAAGTAGAACAGCAGGCTCTGAAAGCAACTTCTGATAGGAGGTATCAGAAGCAGTCAGAAGCCAGGAGAAGATCTGATGGTGGTCAGAAGTCAGAAACCTCAACCTCTGATAGACAAAAGAATGCTCAGAAGGGAAAAGAGAAGTATGACAAGAAGAAGATCCAATGTTACTGTTGTAAGAAGTTTGGTCACTTTGCTAGAGATTGTTGGTCAAACAAGGAGAAGAAATCAGAAGAAGCAAATATAGCCAGAAGTTCTGATGACGAATCTGTGCTATTGATGGCCTCTGAATCTGATGATCTGACAGACTGGTGGTATATGGACACTGGCTGTTCAAATCATCTTACTGGAAACAAGAAATGGCTGGTTGACTTTGACTCTGAAAAGAGAACAAAGATCAGATGTGCTGATGACAAATATCTTAATGCAGAAGGTATGGGAAATGTCAGAGTGACTCTGAACAATGGGAAAATAGCATTGATTCAGAATGTGTGGTATGTACCTGGCATCAGAAGCAATCTGATGAGTGTGGGACAATTAATTGAGAAAGGTTTCTCAGTTACCATGAAGGACAATCTTCTGAAGCTGTATGACTGTAATCAGAAGTTGATTATGGAGTCAGAACAGGGAAGGAATAGAACATTCAAGGTGAATGTCAGAACTGCAGACTCAGAGTGTCTTAGTGCAACAAGTACTGAGAAGGAGAGTGAGCTGTGGCACAGAAGATTTGGTCATTTGAATTTCAGAAGCTTGCAACATCTGAATTCAAAGAAATTGGTACATGGAATTCCTGCAATTAAGAAGCCTGAAAAGTGATGCAAAGTTTGCATGGAAGGAAAACAACCAAGATTGCCATTTGCATCAGAAGTTGCTCCAAGAGCAAAACATGCCTTGGGAGTTGTACACTCTGATGTGTGTGGTCCATTTCCAGTAGCATCAATTGGAGGGAATAAATACTTTGTGTTATTTGTTGATGAATTCACAAGAATGACATGGGTATCCCTTATTAAATTTAAACATGAGGTGTTTGATGAATTCAAGAAGTTCAGAATGAAGGCTGAGAATCAGAGTGGTCAGAAGTTGAAGATTCTTAGAACTGATGGTGGAGGTGAGTATAACTCCAAAGAGTTCCAGAAGTTCTGTGAGGAGAATGGAATTGAGCATGAGGTTACTGCTCCTTATACCCCTCAACACAATGGTCTTGCTGAAAGAAGAAACCGCACTCTGCTTGATATGGTGAGAAGCATGCTAAAGGAGAAGAAGCTTCCTCAGAAGCTCTGGGGAGAAGCTGTTGCCACTGCAACGTATGTACTCAACAGATGTCCTACGAAGAAGTTGAAGGAAATAGTTCCTATGCAGAAGTGGACTGGAGACAAGCAAAGTGTTAGTCATCTGAAGGTATTTGGTTCTGTTTGCTATAAACATGTTCCAGAAGCCAGAAGACAGAAGCTGGATGATAGAAGCAAAGTGATGATTCTGATAGGGTACCACAGTACAGGTGCATACAAGCTCTATTGTCCAGAAACCAACAAAATTGAATTCAGCAGAGATGTGATTGTGGAGGAATCAGAAGTTTGGAATTGGGATAAGTCTCAATCTGATTCTGATGTTAGAACTTCTGAAGAAAGGTCAAAGTTAAGAATTTCTGAAGTTGAAGTAAACTCTGACGTTGATTCTGACTCTGATAGTGATTCTGACTCTGGAGAAGACTCAGAAGATGAAGGTGACTCTGATGATCCAGACTCTGATGGTAATCCAGATTCTGGTGGAAATTCAGACTCTGAAGATGGCCAAGGCTCTGGAGGAAGTCAAGCCTCTGAAGCTAGAAATTCTGAAGTTCAAGACTCTGGAAATATGCCAGATCCTGAAGTTGGTCAAAGCTCTGGAGAAAGTCAATCATCTGAAGCTCAAGACTCTGAACAAGTTCAGAGACCACAAAGAATCAGAAGCGTTCCCAGAAGATTTGCAGAATTTGACATGCTGCAAGACACTGAAGTAGACTCTGAAGGAGAAGTTATTCAGTGTGCCATGTTAGTAGACTCTGAACCTATAAGTACAGAGGAGGCTCTTAAGAAGAAGCTCTGGCTGAAGGCCATGAAAGAAGAACTTGATGCTATAGAGAGAAACAAGACTTGGAAGCTGACAGAACTTCCAAAAGACAAGAAAGCCATCAGCGTCAGATGGGTTTTCAAGCAGAAGTTAAAGCCAGATGGCTCAATTGGCAAACATAAAGCAAGGTTGGTAGCCAGAGGATTTCTACAGAAACCTGGGCTGGATTATTCTGAAGTGTTTGCACCTGTAGCAAGACATGAAACAATCAGAATGGTGATTGCAATAGCTGCTAACAGGAATTGGCCTCTGATGCATTTAGATGTAAAATCTGCATTTCTGAATGGTCCATTAGAAGAAGAAGTTTACGTGTCACAACCTCCTGGATTTGTGAAAAAGAATCAGGAAGGGATGGTGTACAGATTATACAAAGCTCTATATGGATTGAAACAAGCGCCCAGAGCTTGGAATCAGAAGATTGATTCATTTTTCAAGAAGCAAGGCTTTCAGAAATGTGAGATGGAGTACGGTGTCTATGTTCAGCATACTTCTGAAGGCAATATGACTCTGGTATGTTTATATGTTGATGATATACTGCTGACTGGAAGTTCTGAACAGGAGATAGCCAAGTTCAAGAAGGTTCTAATGAATGAATTTGAAATGACTGATCTAGGCAAAATGACTTACTTTCTAGGGATGGAGTTCAGATATTCTGAGAAAGGTATCATTTTGCATCAGCTCAAGTATGAATTAGAACTTCTGAAGAGATTTGATCTGAAGAAGTGTAAGATGGCTGTCACACCTTCTGATACAAATCAGAAACTGGACTCAGACTCTGAAGGAAAGGATGTGGATGCTACAACCTTCAAACAGTTGGTTGGTTCTCTGAGGTATCTGTGCAATACCAGACCTGATATTTGCTACTCAGTTGGGATGGTTAGTAGGTTCATGAGTAAACCTAAGTGGTCCCATTACCAAGCTGCTATCAGGATTCTGAGGTATATCAAAGGAACTCTGAAGTATGGAGTGTTATTTCCCTCTGGAGGAAATAATGAGTCAGAACTTCTGAGTTATTCAGACTCTGATTGGTGTGGAGACAGAGTTGACAGAAGAAGTACATCTGGGTACTTGTTCAAATTTCTGGGAGGTCCCATTTCTTGGTGTTCCAAGAAGCAACCTGTTGTGGCGTTGTCAACCTGTGAAGCTGAATACATTGCAGGTGCTGTTACTGCATGCCAAGCTGTGTGGATTCTGAATCTGTTGCAGGATCTGAAGATTAAGGTAGACAAACCTCTGAAGTTGATGATTGACAACAAGTCTGCAATCAACCTTGCCAGAAACCCAGTGCTGCATGGGAGAAGCAAGCATATTGAGACCAAGTATCATTTTCTGAGACATCAAGTTCAGAGTGGAGTGTTAGAAGTTGTACACTGCAGCACTCAGAAGCAGTTGGCAGATGTTCTGACGAAAGCTATCAAAACTGATCAATTTCTCAGATTAAGGGATGGAATTGGTGTCACAAGTTTTGATGGAATATGAATTAAGGGATGGTATTAGAATATTATTAATAATTCATATTTATTTAGTTGTACTATTTTCTTGGCCCCTAAGTTTGTTAGAGGGTATTTTAGTATTTATCTT